GACTAAGTGACTTTCACCTGCGTGACATCTTGCGCATCAAAACCACTGTTTTTGAGCCAGACCTGGCCTATATAATGCAGTCGAGATCTCAGTATCACCCTTCACCTTAGTGCAGTTATTTGTTTAGTCTTTCATAAAATAGTTCATTTGCATTTAATGTTAATGGTTCAAAGAATGTCAGGCTGAATGGTCGGCCCCCACACATTTTCACCTCACCAAATCTGGCCCTCCTTGTAAAAAGGTTGGACACCCCTGATGTAGGGGAATGACAAGTAACATCTCAAGGATGTAACACAAAGATCTGTATAAAAGATGGAATTGTAATCATATATTTCTAATGTTTATTCAAAAAGAGTTTCACAAGACTTTTTGCCATGTGGAGACCTGTGCTACAGTTCTAACATTTGAGGTTTCTGCTTATTTCAGAGCATGAACAGACGAAGCTCTTAGATAGAAGAGGGACAGAGGCATGAAAGGCTGGCTGGGAAGTGTGACAAAACTGAGGAAGAAAAATAAATGTTGGGAATAGTGAGTGGACCTAATCTCACCTCATGGTTGGGGAAGCCCTGGAATGAAGGAAGCTCTTGAGGGAAGCCCCAACTTGAGGTCAAGGATACAACTTCACTCCTCCTCAAGTATGGAGGTCTCTGACATTTGTGCAGCGCCCTGTTTCCAGTACCAGAGTATCATAGCGGTCAACACAGTACTAAACTTTCCTAGAGCTAAACTTGTGAGCTAATTATGCAACTGGTTATTTCAGTGTCCATCATTAATCCCTTTAGCTCAGTTACTGTACCAAAGATTTATGAGCTCCTTACCTGTTATAGGCAAGTCAGTCACAGGTGTCCAGGAGTTACTGCCCCTTTTGCACTTCTCAATGGTGTAACCCAAGATCCGGGAGTTGCCAGTTTTATGTGGTGCTGCCCATGACAGTGTGATGGCACCCTTGTTGGCACTAACAATTTTAGGAGGAGCAGGAGGGCCTGGAAAAACTAGGAAAAAGTCAATCCATCATTATTAAAGATTTCTGTTACCTCCCTCCAAAGATAACAATAATTTCTAATTTTCCTTAATTCAACATTCAAACAGAAACTAGGTTGTCAGTTAAACATAGGCTGTCAGGAAAGTTAGAAAGAAACCAGTTTTCAAGCTGTACAATGTTTGATAATTCTCAGTAAGAATATTTCAAGTTACATGTTACTATTTCCTAGACTTAAATGTTTTCTATTTTGAGACTTTCTATTACTAAGATGTTAGTAAGAGCCTATCCCAGCTTAGTGCCTTCAGATGTTTTGGATAATAACTGCCATCACTCCTGACCATTGACCATATTGGCTTGATGGGGGGTTGTACTGAAAGATCCCAAATGCACTGGTTGGGGAAGATTATGTTAGAATATTGCTGGAATGGCTAGAACTATAAAATGGGATGCTTTATTGGCAACCTTCAAGAAACCTGTAAAGATCACCTTAGTTTTTGATTTTTGAACTACATGTGGCACAGCATTTCAGATGGTGGGTGAACTACCAAGAAGTCCTGCTTGCATGCCATGACCTGCTGATACAGTATTGGTCTTAGGTCACTCAAGACTTTCTTGGAGGGTCTCAGGAGATGCCTTGATGTGTATGGGGAAAGGCAGTCAGCAATGAAGCTATGAATGTGAGCAATAAAGTCTTGAATGTGGCATGAGAGTTAATTTGATGAAATGCTAGATGCTGTTGTGACAAATTGACAAATGTGCAGAAGGACCATTACCTTTTGTAGCAGCCATCACTTCATCAGACTCAAGCGCTTCACTGGTACCTTCAGCATTCACTGCTTTCACCCTGAAGTAATAGCTTTTGTCGTGTTCCACCTTGTTGGTTGTGAAAATAGTGCAGTCTCCACTGGTTTCTCCCAATGTCAGCCAGGTCTTTCTACCAACCTGCTGCCTCTCAATAATATAACGCTGGACTGGCTTGCCACCATCATCTCTGGGGGGTTTCCACTGGATAGTTATGCCACTTGTGGAACTGTCCACAACCACTATGGGTCCTGCTGGTGGCTGAGGCTTATCTAAATGGAAGAGCAAAAAAGAGCAAGCAAGACAGATCTTTGCTTGTGCTTGGTACTTGTGTTTGTACTTTGTTACCAATTCTTTGGAAGAGAGCTGGCAAGATCAATGCAAGGATCCCATTGTGTTGACAGAAGACTTAGACTAAAGAGAGATGCAACATTAAAATAGGTAGTTAGCTCTCTTAATTATGCTGGTTTCTATCTACAACACATGAATGAATGCTGATTTGTTATTCTTGCCTCTCTCCATTCTCTCCCCTCTCTAGTTGCTACTGCTGCTAGTTCTGCTTCCACCTGGAATACAAGGTGCGTTGTAGCAAGGTGCCTGAGATGGAAGAAGGCTGGGCTGCTTCCATTTCAGTGCCCCAGCAGTGAGGGTCTATGTTTCCAGGAGGAAAAGGTAGTGACCAAATAGATGAACAAACAGAGAGGAGCAAACATGTTCATGTCATTGATATGCTAAAGAACACTGACAATGAGTTCTGTTATGTTTGTCTGCAGCCATAATCGAGTATGATATATTCAGCTTTGTAATTTTACATATGTTTGTATGCAGGGTCAATAATAATGCTTCATTCTCCAAATGAAACACACAGGAATTAAAGCTATCTGTAAAGTTGCTTCATTTTCTTAGGCTTCATCAAAATGGTTACTTAATACCAAGGATCTCTCACCTATCACTACGAGCTTGAAAGCAGCTTCAAGGCTTCCACTCTCATTCTTCAGCTTCACTTTATAATCTCCGCAATCCTTCCGGTTGGTGCTAGATATGGAGAGCCGAGTATAACTGTCTGAATAGTCAGTGCTGATCCTGGTATCATCCAGAAGTTCACCTTCATCCTTTAGCCAAATTGTTCTGATTGGCTTCTTGCCTTCAAATGGGATCTTGACCATGGCATTCTTTCCTGCCTTTACCACTATAGGCTCCTTTCTCAGTTTTTCTAGAAGGGCAGAGTCCACATTTGGAGGGTCTGAACATAGAAACAAATAGTACATTGATTTAACCCCAAGGTGTGAAAAAGGACCTATTGACCATTTTAATAGTCTGAAATTATACTAGGAGACAGTGAAAATTGGCATTCTGCTACAGGCTACCCAGATCTCAGAACCCACAGAATTTGTGAACTTTTCCGTCATAAGGCAGCTTTCTGAAAACCCAGTGAAAACAAAACTGAGTCCCACTGCCACAGAACTAACTACTTGATATTGTTTTGCCGTGAAAGTGTGTTAAGAGCTCATTAGAACAAGGAAGTGATACAGAGAAGATGCACGTCCTTCACTGAGAGGACAAACATTTCATACAATCTGAATGAATTCTGGGTGGGGGAAAGAATCAGAGGCTGAATAATGCATAATATAAGGATAGCATGGGAGGGAGTCAAACTGCAGAAGAATAGCAGGATATGTGCCTAAAATAACCTTGAGGGGGAGCAGTTTATTTTGAAAAGTAAATTCTGAAATGGTTCTGAATTAGTCTTATAAAAAAGTGAGCAATGGGGCCATCGAAAGGACCAAAACAGAGTGGGAGAAGAGGAATGAAAATGAGGAGGGGGCCAAACTTTGTGCAGCAGATGGCATGAGAAAGGCTGTGCAGGGCAACAACAGGAAAGTCATGGGCAGAGACAACAGTCCTGAAAAACAAGGACTGGGACTCTGGTTCTTGCAATTACGTTCTAGAGACATGGATGCTAATGTTGTAAAGAGGCACTGTAGGGAAGTAAGGAGGTGGAGTTATACATAATTAAAGCAACAGGAGAAGCAAATGAGTTTGGAAAAGGCATGCTGAATTGACCACATCACAATTTGTTAGCCTCTGTTCCAAAATGCTGGCTGGAGTCACATACCTGTTGAATCCATCCATTAACACAATGAATTAACACAGAAATTAATACTGAACAAAGAATCCAACAATATCCAGCCCATGCTTTCTGCTTATCAAATGCTGAAATCTGATTTATGAGATTACTGATTCACATAAATCAATAATCTCTCCAAAGTATACTATTCATCTCTCCTGAAAAGTATACTATTAAAGGTATGATTCAACCAGCAGCATTTTAACATCACTTCATCTGCCAAATGACAGGTCTTGACTAGACTTGCCTTCAACAAATAGGGATGCCTCTGTTCGGACACCTTCAGCTTCAAACTTGTACTTTCCCTCATGACTGTCTTGTACATTATGTATTATCAGTTTGTGGACTGGGCCATCCTTCTCAATGGAGACTTGGTCCTGGCCAGTTATCTTGCGGGGAGGTTGAAAGAAAGGAGAAAAACATTCTCAGAAAGTACATGCAACATTGGAACTGTGACAGATCACAGCAGCAAATCCCAAGTGCCCTAAAGTCATCCCTTGTTCCTGTTCTGCCTTTAAACATGGGCATTCTAGGTCCTGCCCCTGCTGTGGTGATTCAGGTACTGCTAAGAGTTCCTGAATAGGTGTGGGGGAGAGAAAAGAGGGGGAGAAGGAACCAAGATAAAAAACAATTGCATGTCACTGCCTGTTCCTGTGAAGTCTTTCAGTAACACAGTTGTTGGTAGCATTTCAAAAATTCTTACTCAGGCTGGTTTAGTGCAGCACTATCCTGTAAGTAAACTCACGAGACAGTTTGTGCAGGTGAAAATCTGCAGGATAGGGAATGGGGTCTTGTTCAGTGGGTTTCTCCTGCAGGCAAAGCATGACTGGTGCATGGTCTTATGCCAATGTGTCGAGAGGACGATGCTGTGAGTCAGGCATACCTAGTGTGCACCGTGCATATTAACACCTTGTGAAGCACACCTATTTATTCTGAATAGTTTACAAGATATACGCACCACCTTTTCAGGAAAACCTAAATTATCCCAAATCCAAGCAGCCTAAACATTGAAGCCAAAGGAGCAGACCCTCAGGCTTCTTCAGGAGGTCAAATGGAGTCCTCTGGGTTTCCACTGGTAAATTTCTTTAAAATTTCTGGATTGTTAGAGCACGAATGGATAATCTGGAAAAGCAGGGTACCTGACCCGTGGCAGCAATGCTTTATATTATTGGACCTGATGAATGCTAATAGCACAAGTAGGTCAACAGACTCCACAGTGGATTGGATCTGTTTGTCCAATCCACCAACACCTCACAGGTGTTAGTGTTTGGTTACCTGGAAAGGTGTTGAGTATCTTTCAGCTCAAGGACCAGATTCCATTTTGGAGATGTTGAGGGCCATGGTCCAGTGGTTGGTGGGGCTGGGGGGAAAAGGGTGTGGGTCCAAAATACTGGAATATTTTAGCTTACTGAAAGTAATTATGCTTTAGGAGAGGTTTTCAACCTTTCAGGTTGGGAACAAACTGTGCAAAACAACCCTTAGCCACAATACAACCTTATTGTTCAGTTAATTGATCTTTCCCTCCCTTTTTCTAGCCTGTACTGTCAATATATTTCAGAATAAAAACTTGAATGTAAATCATTAAATGTTATCCTTGTGATGTTTACATTATTCAGGTGAAACCTGCCACAAGTTATGGAAGACATACCTTGAACCCATCTTTAAACCAAGTTCCCTCAACCTTATCATTGTTCAGGATGCAGGATAGCACAGCTGATGTACCTTTCTGAGCACAGACATCAAATAAACCTTCTCTGAAATGGCAACGTGGTTCTGCATTGGCAAGAGAGAAATAAAAGCCTCCTTTTAAAGGGGCTGTTTTTCCTTTTCTTTTTTTTTTTTTCTTTGTAATCATAAAAGATGTTAAAATGTAAATAAAAAGAAAAATATAATAAATCAGCCATAAATGTATAAATACCGCTCATATCCTCTTCCAGCAGACTTCTTTCTTTTCCTTTCCTGTCCCTGTGTCTTGACATATCACCTGAAGTAAGTCCACTGTCAGACAGCTGTCTTCTTCTGTCACCAGCAAGGGATCCAGCACCATAGAGGCCAGAAGACTGGAACTCTTCTCCAGGAAGACCAGACATCTTCTCATGCAGTGATCCATCGATACCTCTAATTCCTCTAGCGAAGTCAACTCCAACTATCCTACCATCTTGATCATAGACACTACCTAGTCCTCCTTCATTACCAGGGACAGTACTGCCCGCACCAGTTCCAGCAAGCTCACCATCCTTACCATAGAATAGGCCAATATCTCTCGCGCCAAAAGGGACACCAGTGCCTGGTCTACCCAGTGTGCCATCCATGCCATACAGTGCATCCATGTTCCCAACAGCACCATGACCACTACTGCCTGCTCCACCTGGCATTCCATCTTTCCCATATATTCCAGCAATGCTACCAGTGCCACCATGGCCCTCAATGTCTGCTCCAACTGCCATGCCGTCCTTGCCATACAATCCACCAATACCCCCAGCACCACCAGGTCCACCAGTGCCTGCTCCAATAGGCATGCCATCCTTGCCATACAGACCCCCAATGCCCCCAGCACCACCAGGTCCACCAGTGCCTGCTCCAATAGGCATGCCATCCTTGCCATACAGACCACCAATGCCCCCAGCACCACCAGGTCCACCAGTGCCTGCTCCAAT